TTTCTATGTGATACTGTATTAGGTGCTTTATATAGTTATCTATAATGCATGAAATAGCCTTATATGGTAGGAATTATAATTCTCATTTTACAGATATTAGAAACCAAGGCTCAGAGACATTAAGAAATTAGTCCAAAGCCATATACCTTGTAAATTTTGCAGAGGAGGAAAGCAAACCCAAGGCTTAAAAGCCTCCACTCACTTCCTTATTTTGTGCTGCCTGCACTTCTGTTAAAGTTGCATCCACAGTTTTATAACAGGTTGTCAGTTGTTCCTATTTTAACTATGCATGTATGTGTAGGATAAGTTAATGCATTATTGTATGCTGCAAATGTGTATCATAAAAATCAAAGATAAATGTATATATACAAGTTTATTGTTTCCTATGGCCTGATTCCAAGAAGAAAACTTTGAATTATGAGATTTATTTAAGTAAGGATTCTTTTTTCTGTAAACATTTTACAATATGAAAATATTAGTAATAACATTTCTCTTACAGCAGAATAATATTAAGATGGGTTTTTGATAGAGTTTTTATATTTGCAGTTGTTTCATACTTTATCACCCTACATGTTTTTTATTTTATTCTTTTTTTTTTTTTTTAAAGAAGATGTTGTGGGTAGGAGTTTATTTATTTATTTTTGCTGTGTTGGGTCTTCGTTTCTGTGCGAGGGCTTTCTGTAGTTGTGGCAAGCGGGGGCCACTCTTCATCGCGGTGCTCTGGCCTCTCACTATCGCGGCCTCTCTTGTTGCGGAGCACAGGCTCCAGACGCGCAGGCTCAGTAGTTGTGGCTCACGGGCCTAGTTGCTCCACGGCATGTGGGATCTTCCCAGACCAGGGCTTGAACCCGTGTCCCCTGCAGTAGCAGGCAGATTCTCAACCACTGCGCCACCAGGGAAACCCCCTATTTTATTCTTTTTATCGCTCTACATGTTTGACTTTTAAAGTATTCCCAACAAAAAATCTGTTTTAAGAATAAATATGAGGTGTGTAAACTGACAGTGACTGCTGTCTTGTGCACAGTGATGCCTTAAATGTTTGATTCTTGTGTTTGCTAGTTTACAGCCAACACAAAATTATCAAGTAACGTGTGAGTATTTTACAAATGGGCCTGCTTTCCTTTTTTTTCCAAACCAAAATTACACTCTGTTAATTATCCTAGCATTTAGAAAATTACTCTTATCGTTGCTATGCCATTTGGTAGTTGAGGTATAAAGTTGGCACTGTGTGGTAACCATTCACTAGATCACATGATTTTAATTGCTTTGCATCAGAAGATAGCATTTAGTATATAATGTTTAGTGATAAATTTTTTTCTAGAGGAAAAGCTCCTGGACTCTTAGTAGTATAAGCTTGTTCAAACCATCGTTTGTTCTCAATTTGTACTTCTTCTTTTCGCTTTTTACCATTTCCTCAAATTTATTGCAGGCATTTCACAGATTTTTATGTGCCTTCCAATGATACTATTTAGTTTGCACAGTTAGCATCCACATTGGAATGACTCCTCAGAAAGTTTCACCCTGCTTTTTCTGTACTCACTCTCCCTGTGAGTTCATCCACTCCCATAGCTCAACTACCTCTACTTAGATGCTGCTACCATTTTGCTAACTGACACTGTCATTATCTCCCTCCTAGATTAGTCCTGCAGGCTTCTATTCAGATCTTCCTGTCGTCAGATTTGCCCTCCCTCTCCAGTTTATTCTCTACTGAGTAACCAGAGTGATCTTTCCAAAACTCCATTCTTAGTCCCATTACCACTAGGGTATCGTATAGGCACTCAAACACAATAAACCCAAACCTCACATTCTCTCCCTTTGGGTTACCTTTCCTTCCCTTCCCTTCCCTTCTCTTCTTCCCTCTCTCCCTCCCTCCCTTCTTCCTTCTTTTCCTTCCTCTATCACTGACATTTCCAAACTGGAAGCTGCTATATCCCTTACTACTTAATTATCAATTATCAGATTCTAGCAATTCTCCTTCCTAATAGTTTTTGACACTCACTCCTCAACTCCATTTTTTAACAACTGCTCTTTTTCAGGCCTTCTATCACTTTCTACTATTTCAATTACAGAGCCTTCTAGTTTATTTGAGTTATATAAGTTTTAAAATTATACAGATTAAAAATTATATTACCATTTTCAAAGCATTATAGATAATTTTTAGTCTCATAATGATTTTTTAAAATCCAGAAACTAGATATAATTTTTTGTTTTGGCCTTCTACATGAACAATTAGTGTGTGTGTATATGTATTCATTCATTTAGGGACTTAGTTTATTTTCAAGAATAAGAAATAAATACTATTATTTACCCAACTATATACAAATAAAATTTTGTAAGAGATACTTAATACGAAAAAAGAAAATCTTTTTGTGCATCAGCAATGCAGTTGTCACCTTTTCATTATAATATTAAATGTCAGCTCTGTCCTATGAGAGCTTACTGACACATTGACCATTCATCCAAAGCAGTTACTGTCTCTTGAGGAAGCTTCCCAACTGCAGTTTAAAGTCAAATTCAGCCCTGAAAGTGGGCCAAGAAGGAGTGACAGGAACTAGATTTACCTTCCTTCCTGAAACAATTAAAAAAAAAAACTGGATAAAATATATGAAACTGGTTTTCAGAAGTTGAACATCAGGCAGTACATAGTAGTGATCCTTGAGTGATAGGAATCAAATAAGGTGAGTTCTGTGATTGCTCCAGGTTGCTGCCTAGAAAGAATTTCCAGGCCTTGATGCAGGGAGGGAAAATCCAGGAGGCACCCAGTGGTTTCCCTGACTTGAGAAGATGGAATTAGAAGATTGAGGAGACCAAGGTGGCAAGAGTTAGCAAGGTGGAGGACCAGTGAAGGGAGAGCTGCACAGAGAAGAGAGCTCCAGAGAGCTGCAAAGGATCCCCTTACTATCTTCAGCTGAGTACTGAGTAATACAGATATGAGGAAACTACCTGAGGCTGATAAAGGAACCACCCAAAAGGATTAGAGGTAACAATCCTAGCAACTCACAGAGACTTTAATCATTTCTGTTGCCACCAGCCAGAAAGGACAAACCTCATAATTCATTAGATATCATAGAGTACTCAAAAGGGTAATGCTTCAGTAGAAGGGGAAAATTAGTCCTAGAACAAAGGCTGCTCTGGTCCTACTTACAAAGCTTAAACACAAGCTTTGAAAACAACCTAACATCTGTACAATTGGAGTCCCCAAAAGAGAGAATGGTAAGAGAGAGGGCAGAAAAAATATTTGAAGAAATAATAGCTGAAAGTTTTCCAAATTTGATGAAAACTGTAAATAATAGATCGAAGAAGCTCAGCCAACCCCAAGCACACACATACACCAAAAAAAGAAGGAAAAAAAAACAAACAAACTGTACCAAGGTACATCACAAGTCAAATTTCTTAAAGTCTGTGATAAAGAGAAATTATGAATATATCCAGAACAAAAATCACATGTACATAGGAGTAAAGATAGCATGTAGGCAGATTTCTAGTCTGAAACAATGCAAGCCAGAAGATAGTGAAACAACATCTTTAAAATGTTAAAGGATGGGGAAAATAAGCCCTGAAAATAATTTGATAGTCCCTAGAGGTATCATTTACAGTAAGTTGACAGGTGTCTGAAGGCAGAAACTTGGATGGGCTGCTTGTTTGATGATTCAGAAATTTTAGTCATCTGTTTTTATGTGGCATTTTACATTTTAAAGGTATGTGGGTATATGTGGGAGAAAACTTTTCATGAACTTTTGAAATAGCTAGGATGGGTGGTTTTATCTCCATTTTACATGTGAGGAAGCTGAGCTATGTAGGTAATATAACTTTCAGAGTTCCACAAGTCCAGGACTGTGATCATGTTTCCTGACTTCCTATTCAGGACTCTTTTCCAAACTACCTGATCTCATTATTAGCTGTGTATTGCTCAAAAATAGTTCCTAAACTTAGAGACTGTCAGAACATATAAAATGTATGGAGTGCCTTGAAAGCAGTAATAGATAGCACAGTATTAAGTAATTCTATTGTATCAAAACATGTGAAGAAAATAAATGGAAAATCTTATTAAATCCCAAGGCCCAAAATAGAAGACATGAGACATGGTAGTACATTAAAGTATATTAGACCCTGTGTGAAAAGCCATTACAGTATTGAAACTTTAAATAAATGAGCAGAGGTGGGAAAATTGCTATGGTTGCAGAGAAACTTTTAATTAAAGTAATGTTATTTCTGATTTTTTTTAAAAGGTGAGGACACGTTTGATTATTTTAATTATCATATTATATGTGAGCAGAGCACCTTTTAATAACTTGGTTCAAATTAAAATGTGGCAGAAATTAGTTGGGAAGAAACTTTATTTTCCTTCTGTATTTATACTGCATATGCAGTACATAAAATAGAAGAATTAAATACTATCTTGGCATATTTCATCGTATCCAAGGTAGGAAATTAATTCTGACCCATTGCTAGCAGCCTAATGGAATGAATACGGTCCATTGTCTTTTTTGTTTCCACTAGAACTTCTTCAAATATTCTTCAGAGATGCTTTTCAGCTTTTCCTATTAAAGAGAAATTTTGACAGCTAGCTCTTTATGATAAAATTGGGATTGAAAAGTTAGAACTTGAAAGGTGGACAGGATGCAAGTAACATAAAGAAGAATGTTTCCAATTATGAGCAATATGAGCCCCGACATGTCTTCCCAGAACAGTAGGAATGGTCCATGATGGAAAGAAATTAAGAAATAATGTGGAATAGGTAGGGTAGGGCTTGATAACTGAAGGCCTTGAAAAACCAGTAGGAGAAGTAGGTGAATGGCACTGATGTTAGAATTTACTCCTGAGATGAGTGAATTGTCTCTCATCCAGTTAGGAAATAGGAATTTTTGGCACTTCACCTCAGTATTTTCTGTGTATGTTAACACTCATTGTCTTTAAATAAATAAATACAGATTAGATGCCAAAGCAACAATTATTTACCTGAAGAGGGGGATACATTTTTCTTTCTCTTTTCTATCTAGTCAACTCCTTTACATCTAGCAGCGGGCTACAACCGAGTTCGGATCGTTCAGCTTCTTCTCCAGCATGGTGCTGACGTGCATGCAAAAGACAAAGGGTACGTGTATCAGCGTATTTCCTGTAATGGTTTCATTCATGGATATTTACTCTTTGTTTTCAACATCTGATACAGTAAAGTTTTTGAGCACTAGACAAAATCTTATATCCCATTGCCTTACAAGCTTGTGTAGCATTTTAAGAATGTTCACAGTGATTTGACTTCATTTTCATGTTCCTACTAATTAAGGATTCTTCTCATAACAATTTCCTAAATTAGTTTAATTTTATTGTATTCTATTATTTGAAGTTAAAATTTGTTTCTCTCAATTGCAATTACTATTTTTCAACTCTTAAGTTACACTTTAGAAAGATAGATAAATAAAAAATTCTGATAATCCAGTAACATAACTATCCTATTTATCAGGTGTGAAAGGACCATCTCTTACTAATAAACTAAAATCATAAGTATACGTAAGTATACAATATTCTGATTTTATCCTGATGAAATCTTGGCCATCTAAACTGAGAAAACCTAAAAGGTCCTTATGAAGGTTGATATGGGAGAGAGGTGTCTGGGAACCAAGAAAGCAGTATGTCATTTATTTTATGAATAGGTGCATTTTGGAAACCTTTGTACCACTTTCCTAGCTAACCTCCAGGGAAATGTGAGTTGGGTCTGCTAGCCTATGTGATGGGCTAACATTTCTCATTATGCCACTTTAATATCTAAAAGATAATTGACCTGACTGCCCAGATGAAGTAGTGTTCATATTACACTGATGAGCAGCATAAAGAAAAGAAGCCCTGGAGCAGGCTTTTGTTCACTTTGCCCCTCTTCGTGTCAGGAAACATAGACAAGAAGAAAGAGCTCAGTACTTGAGACAGCTCTCAGAAGAGGAGTCCATCATTTAAAATCTGCTCTTTTTGGTGCTCTTTCTCTCTTGCCTGCGCCAGGTTCTGTGCCACATGTGAATGGTGTTCCCATAGTATAGGGGCACAAATGCCTGATGCTCTTGTAAATCTCTTTTCCTTTGTGCATGTCTGAAAGCAGATGGTGTACAATAGGTGAGTCCTCAAGATAAGTACACCACAAAAAAGAGGGTCTTTGACTCATGCAGAATGATAACTCGGATATGCAAATTGTAATAGTTTGGATATTGAATTCTTATGCTGGAAATTACCATGAAAGTGAAATAAAATGGTAGGAATATTTCAATTCACTATCAGTTAACATGTATTTTCTATATATACTTACTATATGAAGCATGCGATTTTCAATTAGTACATGCACTTCTTCCTTTTACCAAAATGCTTTTCTAATTGGTGCTTTTATCATTAATGACATACATAAAACAAGATAAATACAAAAGGTTGAGCATTAGTTATGCTTTGTATTCTCTTATTTAATACTTCAAAATATTTTAAACATAATTGTACTAGGATTTATTAGATTTTGTTTCTTAGCACTTCTTGGATAAATGACTCTAAGTTCTTTGAAATGTTAGTATTTTAATTGGCCTTTTTCCATTTAGTGGACTTGTTCCTCTCCATAATGCATGTTCATATGGACATTACGAAGTCACAGAACTGCTACTAAAGGTAAGAGAAATTAAAAATATTGAATATTATTTGCTTTTTTTTTTAACTCATTATGAGCTTTCATGGGGGTTTTTTGCCAAGATTTTTAAGATAATAAAATTGTTTTTTTTTAAGGTTCACCATTGCCTTAAAATTTTTTAATTATTCAGCTTATTTTAAACTATTTTTTAAAAGCTGAAATTAAAGAAATTAAAACAATTGTTGACATTTCAGAGTTATAACTGAAATTTACAGTCAAATAAGCGAGTTTTTTTGATCCAGTGAAATGATTAGTGACCATTAATTTTTTTTTTCTCAATTCAGCATGGAGCTTGTGTTAATGCTATGGATCTCTGGCAGTTTACCCCACTCCATGAGGCTGCTTCCAAGAATCGTGTAGAGGTCTGCTCTTTGTTACTTAGTCATGGTGCCGATCCCACTTTAGTCAACTGCCATGGCAAAAGTGCTGTGGATATGGCTCCAACGCCTGAGCTCCGGGAAAGATTGACTTGTATGTATTTATATCCTAAAGTCAACATCGCTTGTTGTAAATTGTAATATCTTTCTTTTTTTTAATATTAATTAATTTATTTGGTTGCGTCAGATCTTAGTTCCAGCTCGCCAGTTCCTTAGTTGCAGCACGTGGGCTCTTTAGTTGTGGCATGCATATGGGATCTAGTTCCCTGACCAGGGATTGAACCCGGGCCCCCTGCATTGGGAGTGTGGCATCTTAACCACTGTTCCACCAGGGAAGTCCCTAGAATATCTTATTTTTGTTATTAGGGCTGTTGTTTTGTCTAACTTAGATAATAGACTTCTATTCTTACATGTTCACTAGTTTATTATCCTCTTTTCTTATCATTACTTTTCTTTTTGAATTCTACAGGAACCTCACATACATATACTATGCTTATTTTGTGTTTATTGAAGCCTAATTCTAATTCATGTGTTAAGTAAGGCTCCTTTTTCTTTTTTTAAAGATAAAAGAGGATGAGGAGTCCATCAATAACCATCTATTGAATACCTACTATGTTCCGGGAACTTGAAATATAGCAGTGTACAAACCAGAAAAAATCTCTAAGCTCACAGAGGTTATATTCTTGTGCTATTGGTAGTAATAGATGATATCTAACATTATGGAGTACTCACTATTTCCCAAGCCATGCAAGTTGCACATTCATGTTTTTATTTATGTGTGTTATAGCCCAAGTGCAATCACTTGCCCAAATTTAAATAAGATAATTTTTATGATTTGGTGGAAGTAATCTTCTCAGGTACTGATACATATTACCTATGTTTACATATGCATGTTTTTAAATAAACTTTTAGAATAGTTTTAGATTTACATAAAACTTAACAAAAATAGTACAGAGAGTTCTTTTATACCCTATATGCAGTTTCCCCTATAAACATATTAATATGGTACATTTGTCAAAATAATGAACCAATACTGATACATTATTAATTAAAGGCTGTACTCTATTCAGAGTTCTTATTTTTTTTACTGAAAGTCCTTTTTCTGTTCCAGGATCCCATTCAGGATACCACATTACATTTAGTTGTCATATCGAATACTGAGATATATTTAATTCTATACGTAGGCATTACAGGTTTAAATTAAAGTAGGCGTTACCTACCTAATTTTTAATTTGTCCCATGGTTGATATTCTCTTACATCTAGGATTCTAAGAATCAGATAACTAGATTTAAACACCTGAGAAAACCTTTAAATGATAATTTAAGAAAAAGGCATAGTCAGAATGAAAACATCATTTAAGTTTAAACAGATTGTAAATTAGTTTATGTTAAAACAGGAAGAGTTCCTTGCAGTTTTGATCTTGTTTAAATGGAAATTTAAACTTATTTTGGTACCGGAACAGATGACATCTACTAGATTACAGGCCAGCGCAAACCAGATTATAACTGGGCAGATGTCTTAGCAATGAATCCTTGTAGAAGTGCATTTATTCTCTCTCCCACTCATATGACTCTTGCCATATGTTATCTTGCATTATATAGTGCATTTTTCTATGTGTCGTTCTGTCTCCCCAGTGAAGTTTAAATTCTTAGAAAGACCTTTGGTTTTATTATTCTGTCTTCTTAGCACCTATACAATGCCTTGTTACCTAATAAAATGTGTTGATGGTAATTGTGCTTGGGTCTGTATCTGCCTGCCCCCAACTTAGCACAGTGCATTGTGCATGCTGTGTGCCCAGCAGGTTTATTGAATTGAATTTAACTTAACTCAAAATTTATTTTTTACATCTTTTTCTAATTTCTTTCTTTTAGTTTTGTACCCTGGGCTCAGCGTTATCCCCATGTCACCAATTTGACTTCTTTTTTCCTTTGAGTCATTTTGTAAATTATGAGTACTGTTATGGGTTTTTATGTTGTATTTCACTGGTCTGCCTGATTCCACTGTAAACATTAAGATTTAACCTAAATTTGTATAATTTTGTAAAGGAAGAAGTTCCCTGATTAGAGTACTTTGCGACCTTCTCAGTATCTCCTTTATTTTATTAAATAAGATTCTACCAAGGAATTATCTGAAGGAAAGGATGTAACAAAGTTGGAACTTTTCTAACCAGTTTTCATCCTCATGCTCACTGCTTTATACTAGGCAACCACAATGACAGAATTCTTTTTAAGAAAATTATACAGGAAACAAAAACAATATTTTGATCATACGCGTGGTTACAGCATTTTCATTACACACACATTTTTTTTGCTCTTTCTTGTTTACTTTTTTATTTGTTGTTTTCATGAAGCCAATTGAACACAATAGTGCGGGTTCTGCACACACTGGAGCTGAAAATACTAAAAGTAGCTTTTATTCTTGTTTCCAAATGCATTTAGAAAGAGAGATTTTAAGGCATTTTATAAATATTAAGTTTTCAGGGTAATTGGGATTTCTGAAGCTTCATAGGCCTGTACTTTGAAGAATTTAGCAGTGATAAAGTACCACTAAACAAGAGGTTATATAAAGATGTTTTTTCCCCAAACCTGCCATGACTTATTTTATAAATATTCAGCATTCATGCAATAAATACTTATTGGCTACCTACTATGTGCCAAGCACTGTGCTAGGTGATGGGACTACCGTAGCAGGTAAGACAGTGTGATAAGTCCTCTGATATACAGCTAAAGGCATGTACGAAGGACTTCATAAGAAGGAATCCTAATGGGGAACAACAGGAAGGCTTATCCAAGTATCTGAATTGAGACCTTGAATGACGAGTAGTAGTTAATAAGACACGAGTATGTGCACACATGTGTCTCCGTGTGTCTCTCTGTCTATTTAAAATTGCCTTCCTTTTAATTAATTGATTAATTTATTTATTTATTTAGGCTGCATCGGGTCTTAGTTGCGGCATGCGGGACCTTTCATTGCGGTGGGTGGGCTCTTTGTTGCAGCATGCGGGCTTCTCTCCAGTTGTGGCACGTGGGCTCCAGAGCATGTGGGCTCTGTAGTTGTGGTGTGCGGGCTTAGTTGCCCCACAGCATGTGGGATCTTAGTTCCCCAACCAGGGATCGAACCCACATCCTCTGCATTGGAAGGTGGATTCTTAACCACTGGACCACCAGGGAAGTCCTTCTTCCTGTCTTTTGAAGAAGAGCAGAAAGTGACATGGGTCCCTCAAAGGAAAGGGAGAAAGGAAAAGAGAAAGAATTCAGCCAAGTGACTCAGCTTTGCTGTGCACCTGAAGCTATCACAACATTGTTAATCAGCTATACTCCAATATAAAATAAAAAGTTAAAAAAACCTGAGAGATACTGTCAATACTTTATGCCTGATAATATCAAATATTTATATGAAATGGGCAAATACCTAGAAAAAAAATCTTACTTTAAAAAAAAAAAAAAAGAATTCAGTACCAGGCAGATGCAAAGGCAGGCCTGGAATTAATGTAACATATTAGGTCACATATCATTATATCTTTTTAGAACAATGTTCAGCTTTTTGTTAATAAGTAGTCATATCAAAATACAATCCAACCTTGTAAAATAGAAAATAAGATGATTTGCTTTTAATGAGTAACAGTGGTGGATTCTTGCTTATGCAATTAATTTAGAAATGCCTTTTTAAAAATCTCTTACTTGCTTATACAAATAATAAATAAACATTAACTGTTCTTTGAAAAATTTTCAGACTCTGGCACTTCCCACATAATTCAGTTCTTCCCTTCTCTGTGTCAAGACATAATCACTATTAACATTTTGGTGAATATTTCTCTAAATGTCTTTTTTATATCATTAGTTATATTTAGTTATGGTGGCAGTAGAAGTAGTAACAGTACCAAAAAAGGGTCAGCCTGTCCTCCTCATTTGCTACTTGAATTTTCATTTAATAATATATACTTTCACGTCAGTATATACATAGATCTATCTTTTTGTTTAAGAGTTATAAAGTATTCCGGTGTATAAGTATTCACAAATTATTTAACTGGTTTCTATTTGGTGAACATTTAGGTTGCTTGTTTGAAAACTTTGGTGGAGTGAGTATCTTTATGAACTCCGAGTAGAAAATAGTCTTACTTCAAAATTTTTCATTGACCTACACCCTCATCCTTTGCACCTTTATCATCATATTGTCATTTGTTGCTGTTGCTAAAATAGAGGAATGTGTAAAATTAATAATTTTTCTACTTTATTTATAATCATGCTAATGATTTTTATAGATTTTAAATATTTATATGTCAACCATTATTTCATTAACAGATGAATTTAAAGGTCATTCTTTACTACAAGCAGCCAGAGAAGCAGACCTAGCGAAAGTTAAAAAAACACTTGCTTTGGAAATCATTAATTTCAAACAACCACAGTCTCATGAAACTGCACTGGTAAGATCCTATTGTTAATCCATTCCTTGGGTCTGTAATAGTAGTGCAAATGCAAAATACGATTTTCATTTCAGAAACATTAAGGTAACTTTAGTATCTGAAGTGCCAGGGATTTGCATTTTAATATTGGTTGCATTGATTTTTAAATTTGGTTAGGGAGATAATTGCTTTCATGGATGAGAGAATAGACATTTGCTCAACCTTAATCTGAAAATTATTTTTACTTTTGTCTTTACCCAACCGTATTATAACAAATGTACTTTTGTGGCCAGTGCTCTCATGAAATACAAGATGTGATTTTTCTCTATAGAATCTTCTTTTTCTTGTGGTTGCTAGATAAATACCGTATTTGCTTTCTATCAACGATTAAATTATTTTCAAAGATACGTGCATCATCATTTTGAGCAATTGTAGTCAAAGAATTGTTATATTCATTATAGAAAAATGGTATGCTTAGGAATTTTTTTGTTCCAGACTGTACAAATTTTTAAAACTATTCATGTTTTTTCTTCTAATGTACTTTGAGAAAGATTGTTCTATTTTCCTTGTCATTGACCACATTAAGTTTCAGGTATAGGGCTGGTTGGATTATACCTGAATTCAGAATTTAAGCATAAGTGATGCTTCTATCACAGACCTCTAAATATGCTTCAGTTAACATTCTTTATATCTGGCACAAAAGGGTCAAACTCTAGGCAGTACCTGCTAAAAACAACATTATAAGAGTTACCAAACCAAAATAGGCCAACTGTATGTATACTCAGAATATGGCTCTCATGCTGGGGTTTAGATACATTCAAGCTACACAGCATTTCTGCCAGGAGACACTCAAAGCCACAGAATGAACCTGACCTGCTTTTTTAGAGTGTTCATTCTGTTCATTAGTACGTAGTTTTCTTACTTTTTCAGTTTTAATACGAACATGAATATAAAATGAAGTTGAATATAAAAGTTGTATAAATAGAGGGTAAAACATAAAATTTCTGAGAATACTTCTCCCTCTAAGCTCCTTCAAGTCTGTTACCTTCTTACCTGTCCCTGGGCATATGGACTTATTCTCCTGTAGTGCTAGGAGTACCTCTGGGAAAGAGCTTGAGAAATATTGATTTATGTGGCTGACAGCGTACTGAAGGATTGAGTAATTCAGTTATAGATTTCTGTAGCTTTGGAGAGGCAGTATTCTGATACCTTCAAGTAAATATATACTGGATAATTACTTATTGGCTGAAGGGAAAGAAATGAAGTCTCTTACTGCTCAACTGAGAGCATAATTTCACCTTGGTTTAAAGGCTTATGTTTTATACTCCCAGTGTATTTAGGAGGAATTTAGATCATCTCCATAATGTTAAAATATATGTTTTGAGATAACAGTGTTTTAAATAGTCAGCAGGTGCTATTCAATTCAGAAATCTATTTTTACATAGAAGTTTATTTTATTAACTTGGTTTTCTTTACTTTACAGCACTGTGCTGTGGCCTCCCTGCATCCCAAACGCAAACAAGTGACAGAATTGTTACTTAGAAAAGGAGCAAATGTTAATGAAAAAAATAAAGAGTAAGTGCAGTTGCAGAAGGAGTTGCTCAGTTCTTAAAGGGAAAGCGTGGTACAAGTTAGGAGATTACCTTTTCCTTTCCTCCTCTCCGTAGTTTCATGACGCCCCTGCACGTTGCAGCAGAAAGGGCCCACAATGATGTCATGGAAGTTCTACATAAACATGGAGCAAAGGTAAGGCTCATGCCTGAGATAAGGTGCCAACCTTGGCATTGAGTAGCTAGCTGCACTTAAGACTATTCTCTCTGATTCTCCCGAAGAAATTAATCTTATAAAGGACTGTTAGCATGTATTTGAATTCATAGATTCTCCTTTAAAGCTGATTTAAATCTTGTTACTAATAGAGATAATTACCTGTGTTTTATATTGTACTTTACTATCATTCTTCTATAAAGCAATAAAGGTGGCTATGGTCTTATCATTTGAAATACATTTCAACTTTATATTGTTTCACCTTAATATTGGAATTGATGTATTTTGGTAGTCAACATCAATTACGGTTTATCAGAAAGTAATTTATGTAAATGGTAGGTAAAATATTGCTACCTATTTTAAAGAACATTTGTTCCTTCAAACTGGTAATGATAATAATTTTCTCAAATAACCTTAATATAAAGAAATAAAATTTTAATAACAATTTTTATTGGCATTGTCTGAGTGACATTATCTGTAACTCCATGACTCCATAAATTGCTTGAGGAAAATTTGCTTGAAGGGAAGCAAACTGGTTGTTTTTCGGAGGTACTTGAACTTGCAGATTTTTAAATCCTCAAGAGTGAATACTTTAAAGCAGGAGTCCCCAAAGTAGGGTGCAGACACTCTATGGAACATACAAGATGAGCCATTGGGTATAGGAAAAAAATATTAGAATTTTGATTTATTAAAATAGTAATTTATTTACAAATGAAAAAGTTAAGATCTACAGTAAGTCCCCTACATACAAACAAGTTCTGTTCCAAGAGCATGTTCACAAGTCTAATTTGTTCTTAAGTCCAACAAAGTTAGCCTAGGTACCCAACTAACACAATCGGCTGTATAGTGCTGCACTGTAATAGGTTTATAATCCTTTTCACACAAGTAACACATAAAAAACAAACATAAAAAATAAAGAAAACATTTTTAATCTTACGGTACAGTACCTTGAAAAGTACAGTAGTCCAGCACAGCAGCTGGCGCTTCTTAGGCAGTACCAGCTACATCACCACTGCTTTTTATGCTTGCTTCCAGACATCCTGGGCTTGAAATAATGATACTGTACCACTGTACTCTATACAGTACTGTAAAGTATACAAAAGCAGAACCACTTGTAGAGGATGCATTCATGTAAAAATGTATGCCAGACATGTGAACTAACTTACATGATTGGACATGGGAACGCACGTTCGCTTCTTTGAAAGTTCGCAACTTGAAGGTTTATATGTAGGGGACTTACTGTACTAATATTTCATACACAGATTGATGCTGGCACTCTCATTATGTCCATGTGTCAGCCTGTCTGAGTCATGTCAGAGCCCAAGGTGTTTCGTGAGGAAGAACATGAGTTGTGTGTGGGGGCATTGACCGTGGTACACTCACTCGTCTGCTCACTTTCAGCACTTTGTGACACATTGCACTTTTCATGAGTAGATTTATGGGTATTATCCTAAATGGTAGAATCTTGATAAATATCGTTGTTGAAAATCAGAGGGAATGACCATGACAATCTTATAGAATAAAAAGTTTATCTGGCTATTTTATGAATCAGGATTTTCGGGTTGCCGTACTTAGTTGTTGTGCCTTTTTTTTTTTTTTAATGAAAATAAGGAAGTTCAAAATTTGCTGATAGTTCTATGGTGACAAATGACTATTACTTGTATGTAGGTACTTTTTTTTTAAAGAGAAACATAATCAGAACCTTAAAGGTGAAAGGTACATATTTTAGAGTGAATGAGAAAGTAACTGCTCTTTAAAAGGAACTTTAACAAATGAAGAGGACATTTTGAAAATAGATTTTTAGAAAATATCCACTGTTTTGTGATTTTGTTGCCAAAAAATTATGTGTATTTATCACCCATCTGTCATATCTATATAATTTAAAAACTGGGCAACAACAGGATTTTCTAACCTGTTTTAAAGTTTTTGTTTTGTTTTTAAATTTGTGTTCAGGTAGTTTTTGAACCTATTAAAAATATTTTAATGCAACACCTCATAATAAGTTTGCAAGAATCAAGAAAAATGCAATTTTACTAGCAGAATTCAGTTAAAACCTTAGCATAATTAGTAAATTACATTAAAAAATAAACATTGTGATTTAGAAGGCTTTGCTAACAATGCACTTTTTCCAGGGGCACTACATATCTATGTGAAATCTTTTTAGCTAATCTAGCCAATGGGACCAACTATTGAAAATGAACTTAAAATCAGACCCTCAAATCTACAACATAATTTTTATAAGATTTCTTTAAGTTTCTTTTAATTGAGCCAAATGATATTTTGTACAACTAATAATTTAAAATGTTTTTAAATTTTTAATTGTTTTACCTCTTTCCCATCCTTTGTAATTTTTTTGTATAAATTTTGTATATATTTATTATGTATTAGTTTAGCCCTGCTTGGTTATAATTTATAAATGTACATAAATGTATATTGAGATGGTTCTTAAAACATTTTTTTATTCCTAAGGTGCATGATCCAAAAAAATTTGTGTATCCTTGCTTTAAAAGGACGGTTGATGTTTTTAATTAAACAGGATGAGCTGGAATGAAAGGAACAGAGTTCTACAGATTTATTACCTATTTTCAGGGTACAACTCCTGCACTGTTACATAAATAATGTCTTGTTGTTCTGTCAAACAAAATAATAAGCTAAGTAGGCTTTCTGCTACACTTAAGAACATGGTATGTTTATCATTTACCTATTTTTAAAAATATCTTATGGCATTTTAATGTTCTTGAATAACCATTAATAATGCCCTTCATTTTGGGAAAGTATCTCTTTGTTGTCTCCCATGAGTCATTTTATTTCCTGAAGGTTCAGTGAGAAATAACATTATTTTATATAACCTATCCTAGTCAGCATTACTGTAGGTCTGTGGTTCTAAATCTTTTTTCTGCCCTTCATGTTCACAGTACATTCTCATCAGTAACGTCACAATTTATCAGTGGGTCATGTATAATTTTAACCACCCTGCTAGTGATGTAGAATGCCTTTTAGACTAGTATATCTTCCCTAGTCCTTCCACTTCAGTTCAACAAAATTGAGAATTCCTGTGACTAGGCACTTTAAATGGGAAAAAAAGTCATATTTAATCAGGGTTAGGAACCAATAGATACAAATTTCCATCCTCCCCTTCACTCATTTCCTGGTCCCAAGGCAAACTGCTATCCCTCAGGGCTAGTTTATCTGGTGACTAATGCATTAGTAAAAGCTCACTATAAAGACCCAACTTAGCTACTGTTGGGCCCTAATGTTTGCTTGCCTAGTGTTCTTTCTGGGCAACTTGTGGTTCCAATTTGATGTTTGAACGACTCATTGTTTCCATTTGATTCTAAAAGCACCTTCTGAACAAGTAGCCCCACTCCCAAATTAGGATTCAGCCCTCTTAGGCTGCTTCTACCATTCTGCTGTCTTCCCCTCCTCATGATGAACCTAGTTCTCAAGCTAAGACTACTAAATCAGAAAAGGCAGAGAATTTGGTAGGGAGATCTAATACCATTAACTAACTTGTCTTACTTAGACAAATAAAACTTAGTAATATTTATATAAGCCAAAGCATTCTTTTGTGTAAAACTTGGTAATAAATACAAAGTACAGGTTCACTCTGCAAGTTAAGCATATTGTGTATGTAACATAGATATAGTTTTCAGTTTAGAATCTTCCACTTTCTAGTTTTATGACTGTGAACTTAATTTCTCTGAACCTCAGTTGACTCATTGGTGATATGTGGGTATTAATACCTCCCCTACAAGGGTGTTTTTTTGTTCGTTTTGTTTTTTTGGTAAAAATTGAATGAGCTTATATATATATGTATGTTGTATAGTACCTGGCACACAAAAAATACTTTGATTGCTAGTAAGTATGAACATTGTATTTTTTTCTATATGTGTCTTTTCAAACTTATATACTATATATTTCCTTTAATTATCTACATTTTATTTAAGAGATGTATATAATCCCTTTATAATTTGTTTTGATCCACTAGCTCAACATTGAGTTGTAAAATGATAAAGATTGTCAGCTGGATACTGTGGGAAATAGTTTGGAAGTTAAAGCAGTTACCAAACTTGAAGCTAATCCTGAACCAATTTAGTGGCATCAGTAATGAAAAAGGAAGAGAAAGACGAAAGCCATTTGGAAAGACTAATTGGGTGCTGGAATAGACTTAGAAAATGGTGGTAGTTGGAAATGAATTGGGTGCTGGAATAAACTTAGAAAGTGGTGGTACAATTAAGGAAGTAAGAAAGCTAGAAAGAAATACTGGTGTCCTATGTCTTGGTAATGATTTTGTACTTGGAGTTAATATGATAGAGGGACATTAAATAAAACTAGTGGTTGGAAATACAGCACTAGAGTATGAAAGAGAGCTTAGGATTAGAAAGATCTATTGGGAAGCCATTGACATAGTGACCATACATTGTGGGAATGAGGAAGGTTCCTGGTAGAGAATATGGAGAGATGAGTTGAGAGTCAAGGAATAACCTTTGAGGATTACTCATGTTTGTGGAACAGTAGTGGGAAGAGGAACTGAAAGGCTTATCATGGTGTCTGTTGAGTGCAACGGAGTGTGAAGAAGGAACAGGTGATTAGTGCTGCAGAGAGAAACCAAGGTAGACGATCCATTTAACTTGGCAATTTTCACATAAGGGCCTTGGTAGCTTTTGAAGGAGGTGTTCCAAAGATATAGAGGTAGAAAATTGTATCAGTTAGGGTCTTGGCAATAAATAGCACACTCAGAGTGGGTAATTTGAGGAAAGTTTAATAAAGGAGTTATATACAAAGGTGTGGGCAAGGTTTAGGAAATCAACAAGGGATGAGGTAGTACCAGCAGCAAGTGGGCGCTATCATCATCCTGGGCCTGAAGGGGCAAGGAGCAGGGGCGCTGTATAGAGCAGGCCACCTGACAGCATCTGTAGCCTTTGATAAAGGCTACATCTAATCCATACTCCTCACTCTTCTCCTTCCCACCAGTCCCCTTG